TCTAAACACTTCAACTTTTTCAAATTGAGCAGGATAGCACTTAAACACGTGTGAGGGAGTTGCTGTTTTTGCTGAAGCGCATTATTATTGAGTTTCAGAGCGATTCAAGATATATAGATCAGCTCTTGAACAAGCCGCCGGCAAGAATCTATAAACCCTGTATGTACCCGATAAAACTTGACTCGAGATCTATATGCTGATAACAAACGAATAGATCGAACTCTAATACCAAGAATAAGAGGCCTTTTAAAACCGCTGTACTTATRACCACTCAAGAAGACAAACGTATTATACAAACAGTTTCTGCCTTTTCTTTATTTTTATTTACATACATTCACATTACATTCAAGATTTCTAGTTAGTGAAAAAATACTAGAAATTAATGCTGATTCATCAMATCATAATTACTTGGTCCATGCTATACATTTTGCATGTCCGTATACAACAAACCAAGAGTTTTCTTGAAATTTTTCAATTCGTCTTCTAGTTGCCCTACAATAAAAAATATATTCGTTAGAAGGCAGTGTTTATTTTTACTGCATTGAGTGCAAGGTAGTGTTGTCGGAAAACTGCCGACAAAATAAAAATTATAAATAAATAAATTACAAATTTCCACTTTCGTTTCAGAAAAATGCCTTACTTAGGCTGAATGTTTACTTACTTATTCTYTCCAAAGCTGCAAAAATCTCTTGCAACTTGCTCTCTATAACATGGCTTTTATCTTCATATGACTTGACAATTGCTTCTTCAATGGCTCCACAAGTTTTAGAAACTTGCATCTCCAGACCCTTCCTAAAGTCTTTCCAAATATCACACCAATAATTAAAAATGATATCATTCCATAATACAAATAAATCAATTACCATTTAACAGATCTGTGTCTCTTTTACGTTTTGCATTTATGTCGTCTATTTGTTGTTGTACTCTTCTTTGCAACTCGTCACTAGATGGAAAAGATTTCCTGGCAGGTGAATAGCCTCCGTCTTCAAGTTGTTTGGATATCCCTTTGTCGTCAATAAAATTTGCTTCTTCTTTCGGTTGGCTGAAAAATAACCAGTGTATGGTAGTTATCATGAACTTATCAAAAGCTTAGGTATAAAGGTAATACATTAATAGGACTAATAATTATAACAMAAMACACACACACACAMMAAAAAAAACAATAATCATGTTTCTACCATTGTTTCACAAGATCAGGCCTTGTTGCATCATTGACATTTTCATTCATATCTAAATTCAAGTCAAAAGTCTCATTTCCCTCTTTAACTGACTGCAGATTGTTTTCTTCGCTATCCTCCATTCCTTTTTGAACACTATATAAATATGTACTCAGAGATGTTTTGAACAGTTTTCAAGAGAGTATAAGCTTAAATCAAAACTTTCCAGTCGTTTCYTTGTTTTGATCAACACTTTGTAAGCGCGGGAAAAACTTGCACCGGCGCGCTYGGCGACGAGTCTTTGAGCTGTCTGCACAGCGGTTGGCATGAAATCGAGGTTGCGCGGGAAATCCAATATGGCGGATGACTCTGGAAGTGGCAACCAAAAAGAACCGATTCCTTCCTTAAGTAATTTTGAATATTTTGAAAATCTCTCACAACTTGTTTTAAGTTTGGAGGATGATAAACAAAACGAGCAGATATTGCGAACATTCGAGCTATTTTTGGGTATGTATAGCACGGTAGTAATTTTAAGTTTAACATGATTGAAGATTGTTAAAATGATGATTGAAGATTGTTCGCATCAATTTTCAAGTAAGTTAAGTTAGTTTTAACGTAAGCTTTGTAAGTCAATGACATCTCACTTTTACTTAAAACTGAAGAACTTGTTACTCTGGAGTTTGTCACCAAAATAGCCCCTCACTTTTGGAGTCAGGTTCAATCCAACCAGGTAAGAACTTATCACAGCAACATTTACAGTACTTCACAAACGAATAAACAATTGTTATTTTATTATTATTCAGAGTGGAGAGACTACTAAACACTTCAGCTTGTACAATGCTGTGTGTTATTTACATAAACATATTACAGCCTTTCAACCATCTCTTGAAGTTCTGGTAAACTGTACAAAATCACTACCTATAATGTATGTTTATTTCAATCTGTTACTGGTTCATTTTTTTACTATTATTTGCATGTGTGTAATGGTAATCTAAATCTTGATTTATAATTTTTTGGCTGATATATGTGTGATATTGTGATATAGGAGAGCAGCTAGACATAAAAGGAATCAGCTGGTTGTGTGTTTGTGTTCTGATATATATAGGCACAATGGGAGGAATGGACAGAACTCTAAAGAAGCAAGAAAAACTTAGCTTGTTTCTCCTGTAACTTTTTAAATGCTACGTCTAGAATATTCTAGAAACGTTGTTTACCTGGGAAAGAGATGACAATAAACCATGGTGACTAATATTTTCATGTTTTTCCAGGAATGTAAAAGAAAGTTTCCAGGCAATAATTAGAAGTACCATATTTAGCAGTATTCCTGAAAGTCTTAGTAATGGTATTGAAGCATTCTATAAGCAGGCTTTCAAAGCTTATCAGGTTGTTCACAAGAGTCAACAAATAAATGGTTAGTTTACATTAATACTTACTATGTATGAAACCCCTTAAATATAATGAATCATTTATATGATTTGTTCTTTTTGATTACTAGATGAAGATGACGATGTATCCCTTGTATGTCAAGCCTGTGAGCAGGAGAGAGACAGATGTTTCTGTCAGACTATAGTCAGTCAATTTTCACAGTTCAATGAATGGTTACATCATCTTGGTCTCCTGCAAAAAGTAGCTGGTCCTGCCTATATATCAGTCATACATACAGCGGTAAATTTGTATTCAATATACTTTATTCATATGTAGTGTATGTGTACCTTAAATGTTTTTCTTCTTTTAATTTTCAGATAAAAAATAGAATAGAACAAAAATGCAAAGGGGAATTTGAAACATCCTTCCTGAAGTCTTTACATGAGTGGATGGAGACTGAGCTGTTAGGCTGGCTTGACTCAATCATAAACCACAAAAGTACATTAATTATCATTTATCAATTGACTAAATATTATTATCAGTAATTATCGAGAATATTTGTCTGAAATTTTAGTTTTTTTCTTTCTATGTGGATATAGATTCTGGTAGTTCAAGTAATTTGATATCATTACAGTCTTGGAAGCCCAGGCTGAAGTATTTCATGTATAAGACATTTGCAGATCTGAGGTAAACTGTTATTGGTTCTTTTCAAAATTTACATTGTTTGCGTAATMACAAATACAGTACTTATATTTAATGCAACTGTTCTTATTATTGTCATTAGGATTAGCGAATTATTTAATATCATTGTAGAGTTTCCTGAGTCCATGCCGGCAATACAGGATTTGAAGGTACTTGGGATTTCAGTTATGATTATATCATATTAATTACTGAAGTACTGTGTTTATCCTTTATTAAAACAGGAATGCTTTGAGCTTACAAACCAGAGAAGTCAGTTAGTGACATCGTTACGATCAGTGTGAGTAGTCATCCTTTGATCTTGTTTAAAGCATCACTTGTGCTAAAGAAGTGTTAAAGAATACAATTATCACATGTGCCTTAATTTTTTAGATTTGAAAAACGTCTCCTTCACCCTGGAGCCAATACATCAGTGATTCTAACACAATATGTGTCTGCTATCAAAGCATTACATGTATTGGATCCTACTGGTGTAACACTAGAAAATGTCTGTCAGCCAGTAAAACAATATTTAAGGTACAAGAATGTTTAGTTTGTTAAAAAAAGAAAAAGATGTTTCATGCTATATAATGTTTTCACCAGAACAAGAGAAGACACTGTTAGATGTATTGTAACTAGTCTTACAGATGATAGCAGTACTGAACTAGCTGAGGTAACCTTACATCAATGCACTACCATTAAGTATTATGATACCGTTCATGACAATGAATGAATTCCAGGAATTAATGCATGGTGAACCACACCCAATCGATGAACCAGGAGCCAGTGAAAGTGATGAGGAATCAGAAGACTGGATGCCAGACCCTGTGGATGCTCCTGCAGGTAATTAAATATGATGCAATTCTTCAGCATGTACATGTATACTGTATGTGAGTTGGTGTTGACTAATGCATAATGTTTTACTCATTTCTTGTAGAACGGTCCTCGCGTGGTGGAAAAACACCAGATATTATAAGGTATTAGCCAAATATGAAGGGAAAGTTGACACTCTAGTTCTTTTGCTAATCAGCTATCATTGTGACCAGTGATCATTTTATCAAGCAATGTTTGTATCTTGTAGTATGTTGGTAAATATCTATGGTAGTAAAGATCTGTTTGTGTCAGAGTACCGTACGCTACTGGCTGATCGTATTCTGTCAACATTTAACTATGACACTGACAAAGAGGTATTATTCATTTATTTATTCCTTCCCTCATTCATTTGTTTTGTGTTAACCACCATTATCGTTATTATAACAATRTTTCAGCTACGATACCTCGAGCTTCTCAAACTACGCTTTGGTGAATCACATCTACATTTCTGTGAAATCATGTTGAAGGATGTAGCAGACTCGCGGCGAATCAACTCTCATATCCATACTCACCGAGAGAGGTCTGGGGAAAAGGTACRTGTAATTACGTAATGTGTGACGTCAGATTCTACTTTCTCTACTCTCTCAGAATTGGYGCCTTTACAAGTTGGTTTTAATGTAATCTTTATTGTTATAGGTAAATGACATTGATATGAATGCTATGATCTTGTCTGCTGTGTTCTGGCCTTCATTCAGAGAAGAGAAACTCAAGATTCCCGATGCAGTAAAGGAGTAAGTTACCAGCGGTATTATGCATGAAGTGAAATGCGCGCACAATGCATCTCTTACTGAAAGTAAATTTGTTACTTTACTACACTTCCGCTCTTACTATTTACCTAGGCTGCCATTAGTTATTTTAAAAACTATTGTATCGTATTGTATCGTTTTAATACTGGCTATTGCAGGTCAATGGACGAATACCGTACTGGTTACGAGGCTCTCAAGGGCATGCGTACTCTTAATTGGAAAAGTCATCTTGGTTTAGTGGATGTAGAGATTGAACTGGAGGATCGAACATTAAACCTTACAGTGTCACCCATACATGCTACAGCTATTTACCATTTTCAACAAAAAGGTATRACTACCCCTTTCCCTTTSGCATGATTATCTGTTGATCTTGGTGTTTTATTTATTATTTRTCATTAGACCGCTGGACCGTGGATGAACTTTGCAGCRTAATGCAAGTAACACCAGGAACACTTCGAAAGCGCTTGGCATTCTGGGTAAATCAAGGTGTTTTAAAAGAAGACGGACAAGATGCTTATATCGTTGTAGAAAAACAAAATAGCAAAATCCTTAATGGTGAGCAAATAATGTCTTCAGWTTATGAAATTGTGATGATTGCAGCAATGATGATGTTGAAATGGTCATRATTATAATTGTTGATTGAAACGAAAACAACGAATTACTGGAAAACTGATAATGATGATAGTGATGATGCCAATGATGAATCTTTTAATTAAACTTATTAAATCCTTTATCTTTTTTTGACAGACATGGTCATGGACGCCGAACCAGAATCGGTTACAGCATCAGCAGAGCACCAGCGAGAGGAGGAACTACAGGTACGTATCAAYATGGGAAAAAGTAATAGTTACAGAAGAAACGATATGCAATATAGTAAAATATCATTCAGTACTATATAGATAATATATAGTTTTTTGTTTTAAAGGTGTTCTGGACTTATATTGTTGGAATGTTGACAAACTTAGAAAGTCTTCCACTGGAACGAATCCATTCCATGTTAAAAATGTTTGCTATGCAAGGACCTGCTTCRACACAATGCAGCGTAGACGATTTGCGACGATTTTTGGATCGTAAAGTCAGAGAACAAGACCTRCAGCTTGTAAATGGTTTCTATAAACTACCCAAGTCCGGAAGATAACTCCAACTATATAGCCAAAGTCCCGTCGAGAAGGTTAGAGTCAACTATCAAAGACAAAAACATCTAATTATGCCGATGAAATTCAAGGAAAATATCTTTTATATTTTACTTGTTAAATATCGCTCTGTTGCCAAGCAACAGTGCTAATATCCAAGAAAATTGAAAACTGTGAAATTCCATAWTGATTTTTAAACTTGAAGGAAAATATATATAAATCTGTTGTATTGCTTTGACTTGGTCTTTTCAYACTTAAATCATCATGAATCTAACTAAAGAAACCAGTTCTTATATATTCTTATATCGGTCTTGCTAYTTGTGATAGAATATAGTGTTCTGCACGGCATAAAAAGAGTTAAATTTCGCTGACCTTCGGAAGACGTCCAAAACATCATTAAGTTTCTATTTTTAAGATGTACAATTTATCATTTTCATTRTAACTGTTCCATTAGCAACTCCTACGCATCGTATTTGCTGAAGTGACCGCAATTTCTTAYATCACGTTTGTTATTATTAATTTTGAATCTGAAAYGGTTTGATCAATATATAAACGCGCGCGCAATAGTACTAACCAACCTGTTTGTCCACCAATGTTTGTTGACATAGTGGAATGATAAAAGAAGTAATAATTATCATAGATCTCCCGCAACGATAAGTGAAAATATATTGAATCAATGTGCACATCTAAATGATCATTGACCATTACGTACATTATTGATTTCCCTGTTTTTTTTTTTCGCCGATTTATGACGCTGTCGTTCAGTTTTCTTTCCTTTTTTGATGGCTGAAACAAGAAAGCTGAATTTGAATGCGATTGTTATAAAGTCAAAACTTGAGTAATTGGTTGTTAATATTGACAATGTCCTTGGCTTGTCCTTTACACTGTACTAATTAAAGTACTTATTGAACAAGTTGTTATTTTTTGTTGTCTTCAGCATATACTTTATGTTATATAGTAGGACCAGTTTTATCAAACATACATGAAGTAAAAATGCCAATCGAGACTAATTATCGCTGAAAATAAATGCATTCATTCCAAATGCCATTTTGAAAACATAAACTAAAAATATATCAATTTGTTGTGATTTTCGGTCTTCAAAAACTGACAGCTGAAAACAGCAATTTTGCATGATGTCAATAAGCAAAAGGGTTAGCACTAAATGGTTGCCAAGAGAATCATATAAAGGAAAGCCCACCTAAGGCAATCGTTAAACAATACGGCGGGCAACGTGACTTGAGGTGAGCATTACAGTTCTATTACATTTGTCGTTMAACAATATTCAGTTTAGCAAAGATTTTAATTCTCAACCAAGTACCTCTCGCCGAAACGGAAATTAAAAGTTATAAAATGTACTCTTATTGTTTCGGAAAAATACTTGAACTCTGTAAAAGTGCACTAAAGCTATACAAGTGCGGCACTAGTTTTTCTTKACGATCGATGAAAGAATGAGGACGGTACCAAAAGGAGAGGGTTTGAGGTTCCAAAAAATGCTCTAAACTTAATTGTCTTTCGATTTAGATTTAATTGTCCTAGTGGATGGTAGAAGCCAACTGTAGTTGTACATCAGATGTGTCAGTTTTGACCAAATGCTTGTCGCACYACTGCTCTATCTTTTTGGCATCTATAGATTGAAAGTATTGATAATTAAACATTATGAAAATGATAAACATCCATGCATGACAAACTCCTTGCACGAAACGTAACGGCAACTGTGAGTCTTCAGTCACAAATGCTACTGGGATGTACGCTAATTTACCTGGYATTGTCCCTTTTCGCTCTTTTCTCTCGTTTCTATATAGTGAACAGGTGTGAACTCTCCGAATGATTGATTTGAAAAATTTCATTTTTATCTTTGATGAGAGATATAAAAGATTATACTTTGAATACTTAGTACATCTGTTCACTTTTTTGTGTGTTMATCTGACTTTTATAGAGCGAATATTAGTGTTTGTTGTTCGAGTTTATCACTGACYCAAACGATRACTGTTGAATATATAGGTTCACGGAACTACGGCTATAAAAATAAATCGTATACAGCAAGCCTAGTCGGGCAACCTTACTAACAGTTCTGTAGCTGGTGGGTATTGATATTGCTTTTATAACAGTGACTATTATGCTTTCAAATGCTTAATTGATTTCTATACACGAAAACTAGCTTACACTAAGGTGTTTCAAAAATAGTCAATACCAAAATGCTATGATTTTTTTTCTATGARCATCTCTTTTCGGAAGCAGGGCGTCCCGTCATCTTTCTAGCCCTAAACTTTAGAGAACGAAAAAAATAGGTGTCACAATGCGGTATTGGATTGTAATTAACACATTGATTTCTATGATTAAAATCTCACACACAAAAACGCTCTATACTAGAAAAATCACCTCAGAATTCGACACATGTACTTTTAAAAGCAGAAAATCAACGAGCGGCATTGTTTTTACATTTTCTCAGCAACCAAACTATTAAACAACGAAATCTCGGGTCTTGACAAAATCTTTGTGATTGATGAAGTTTCCGAAATAGTGATATTGATATTGATATTAGTAAAGTCTTGTAACTGAGGAGGTTTTRCAATAAAACGAAACTAGTTTTACAGACAATACAAGCTGATCGTGCGTCAAGACCGAAAAAGTCAAGTCTTAACATACTTGAGGAAATCAAGATGAAATTGATATTGAAACGGTGATGTTCTTTTCAATTTTCTAAAAACATAGACACTGGAACAAAAATTATTTGTGTGTTTCCTGTGAATCCATATTTTTCRTTGTTTCTTAACTGAGTTTCATTAATTACGATTAAGGATGGAGTTCGTTTAAAACAAATACAACTAGGGAACAATTCATTAGTTGCTTCTTTGTATTTATATTAAAGGTGATTTTATTTGTCACATCCATGGAAACAATTGTAATATTTGAACACATTTTGTATTAAAACACACTTTGTACTTGTTGTCATATTCAGCTGATCTTCTATTGTATGAAGCTGTGAAAAAAACCAGGACTGTCCAAAAACCAAGGTGGTGGCCAAAACGACTGACAGTCATCTGCCTGCTCCAAGAAGAAAAGTACAGTGTATTGGTAGAATCGTTCTATAGGGTATTTCAATACTTGTTATTTTAACATGTTGGACCCTGGTCGATACAAGAAGCAACTTGCGTCTCGTAGCACAGGACTGGTAGTGTTGGAAACAAGTCTGTTTATTTGTATAACAGTAAGTGCATTGGTTGGTAATCTAATGGTGTGTTGGGCAGTATATCGCAGYAAGAAATTGCGTACTCTTTCCAACATTTACATCATTGCATTGGCCATCTYTGACATCTTAATGGCGATCCTGTGCATGCCACTGTCAACCGAGGTATCAATCGTACCAGAATACAAACATGGCGATCAAGTCATCCARTTTCAAGGTTTTTTCACGTTCTTTCTCTCATTAGCSTCAATCCAGACCATGACAGCCATGGCAGTCAACAGATATTTTCGTATTGTTAAGCCAAAGTTGTACCGTAAATGCTTYAATTCTTTGAAGAAAGTGGCATTGTCGCTCGCCATTRTTGTTATCATGGCTGGCATCGGTGCTGCGCTKCCACTGGTGTTCGGTTTTGCGGTGTATATCTTCCACTACGGGAAAGTATTCTCGTATATACGGTACCTGACCGTGCCGGCAGCATACTCATACACGGTCTTTTTGAAGATTTTCTACATTACCTTCCCCACCCTGGTGACTTTGTTTTGCTATTACAAGATTTTCACTGCGGTGAAAGCACATTCTAAAGCAATGAAAGCCAAGCAAGAGGAAAGCAGATCAGGTCCATCCATGAACGTAGAAGATGTCAAYATCACCAAAGCACTGTTCGCAACTGTTGTGGGATTCGTAGCTTGTTGGACACCCGTTGCTATYATTGATATGATTGACACGTTCTCAAACCATACTGTYAATCAACCGCGACAAATCTATCTGATGTACATCTACCTGGGATATGGTAGCAGCTCTATTAATCCCTTTATATATGGCATTCTGAACAGATCCTTCAGAGTGGAATTTATGAAGATATTTAGATTAAAATTTGCTAGTCATTCYTCGACTAGCGACGCTGCGTCTCGACCCACAGCAGCGATGTTCTGGCGAACCAACGCTTCAGGCATAACACCCATTGACAACTAAGAGACTATTGATTATGCGCAGATCACTGTATGTTCTTTTCCAAATCACTTCAGTTGTGCTTCCCACATGTGCCTGCATCAGTATACTGTCTTGTACTGTACATACGCAAGCAAGTGCAGAGACACAGGCAGAAAATTGTTTTAAAGCTTTATGTATTACAATTTGTAAATAATTTCTTATATTGGAAAACTGCAAGAGCAGTTAATTACTACAGAGTATTTACAATTCATTAATAGAATAAACCTTTGAATGCATGCAACTCTWGTACGCAAACAAAGTACCCTAAAAAGATGGAATTGTACAGGGAACAAAAAAATATTAATTTGTAAACATTGTAAAAGKTAGTTGAAGTGTATTAGTGCGTAATCTACGGTACTAGAAACCATGGGTCAGCTTCCTMTACAGTGCATGTATGCATCATTATCATAATTGTACATTATCGATGTATTTTTATACGGGTTAGAGCATTACGGTTGTGTTTCAAATTCTGAATATTACAAAAATATTTCCAGCATTTTGAATGCCTGAATGCAGCAATAATAGACCTCTGAAGTTTTTGCGTCATGTAAGAGAATGTTTGTGACAAAACGTACGGATTTCTTTTGTTTTCTCTAGAAACTGATCCAACAATGTAGTGCAAATCAAGTAGTGGCGTAAAATGTTCAGAGGTCTATTGTAATGTGTTTATAGTATCTTCAAAGAATGCCCATTGTACATAAAACTTTGAAAAGATTTCCCMAAAATCTTTGCRGTTTCTTCACTAAAAATACACTGTAAAAGTAATTGAGTGTTGTCGTATGTAATATAAAAATTTCTACAATAAATAGCTGTACCARTATTGCTCAAAATGATTCTTGCACTAGAACTAAAGTGCTATTTTAGATCCTGAAGAATCTTATCTACAGTAACCTTCGTTATTCACYCATTCTGTCTTTCCAATTCGATTACCTTAGACCGTTTAAATCGGGTAAATACTGAACTRGATGCCACGCCGGTTAAATGGTAAGCCGACCTATACATATGTTTTGAGTCTATACATGCCTTCCTTTCCTGGAGGTCTAACTGTTGCTTCTGGTTTTTTTAAACCTTTCAGACGACGGCTCTTTGCTTTGAAAGTCACTAAGTGATCGAGACTAGTTGCTGTTTCTAGTGGATCTTCTCCTTCAATACTAAGTGAAGAAACACAAACTTGCATCTCAATTTCTTCAGRATCGGATTTTTCCTTGTTATTRTTATCCARTGCCACTCTTTCATTTCCTGATTCTTTTCGAAATCTGACAGGGGACAGAGATCCATAGTCTGATACTTCAATTGCAGGGTTTACATGGGAAGATGAGAYGGAATGAGAGACAGAGTTGGATCTTGAGGGTTTTTTGACAGTAACCTGACTTCGTTGAGGAGGACTGGCCTGTGTAGAAACATGCGCAATACTAGTCGAAAGATCCACCAAAGCAGCGTGCATTTTCTGCTTGTTTCGATTTTTCCCGTAACCAAAGAATGTGTCATCAGCGTCTTTAATGCTTTTAAATATCAGCACTCCTACAAACGTCATAACGAYGAAGACGAATACGAATGGTATACCAACCATAATACCTAGTTCAGTCGACCTGGAGAAGGGCAGTGGGTACCAGCCCTCTGTTCAACAGAAAATACAAATGTCAGTTTCAAGTGTCTCTTGACATACGATTACTAGACATCTGATATACGTTTTGAWAATACACATAACATATCGTCGTAAATCTGAGACAAAYTKGAGCAACGGAGAACTCTTTACACTCAACTCTACAAGTTCCATTACTATCGATATCAGATCATTAATCATTTTAAATGTTATGTCGGTATACTTACGTTTCTTGCAAATAAAAGGCATCTTATGATAACAATTAGTGTCTTCCCACAATCCGTGATCGATCATTTGCACGCATGCGCCATTGCTATCAGGTTCTCCTACAATCCAGTTCTGGTACTTCAAGTCTATGCCGTCAATCCAATGGAGTTTTTTGGTAGTTTTTCTACGTTCCATTCCAATCCATATAAAGTTTGTATCAGGAAAGTCCTGGAAGTCTTTAGACATATTAAAAGCAATCGCATTTTCCTCTTTACTTGAAATAGACATAAGATTGGCATTGTGATATGCGCATGCTCTTTGTGCATGGTCAAATGTTTTAAGTTCATTTGCTGCAAGATAGCAGTATTTACCAAACTGATACCAGCCAAGGTCACATTGACCTAGTAGGAAAAAAAAGGAATTAGTAACAAGACATGCAGTCCTTCGCCAATTCTCTCCACATCTTCTAATGAAGACAGAAAAGGCACGGGAAGATGATATCATTACCTCTATTGTAATAATTAGATGTACCAGATACTGCATCTGTCTYTGCGTTGCTAAGAGTTACCGGTGACTGTGTCACGTGACTTGATGATGTCATGGCAAGCGAAGGAGCTTCTGTTGCTACAGATGACGTCATTTGTACAAATATTAAMGATGTAAACTGCAGTTCAGAGGAGATATTGCATTTGAAAAACACACGAAGTGCAATGAATAAGAGTAGTGATGTCCACATTAAMCCAGATGTTGTGAATTTTGACAAGTATCTAGAGGACGTATCGATCTTTATCTTGAGAATTAAAATAAGTCTTGTGAATTGTTTTGGATAATTGGCAGAGAGGTCTGAAAAGAAATAGAAAACATTTCTTGTTTAATTTGAGAACATAAAATGAATATCMTTATTATTAWTAATTATTATAAATAATTAGTGACGCCAATGATGATAAGACTGATAATTACAACTTCAATAATTTTGAAAAAGTGTAAGACAATCTATCAAACTTGTGCATTAGGGTACAGCACAAATCCAGTTAATCAATGTCAATTTTCTCTTGCAATTCGCAGCCTTAAAATGACAGCCCGCAAATACAAAACTTCACAAATAACGGGCGAAAATCGCTGTTATTTTTRCCTCTGCTGTGAAATATAAAAGAATTGATTGAGTTCGAAAGTAAATATAGACAACACTCTTTAATATTTAACAACGGTTGGCCTTGATTTATTCACTTTAGAACCAAAGAAAGAAGAATATGAACAAACATCGCTTGATATCCCACATTGCTTGATTCAAAATCTGTTTTTGTTTATATACCGAAGGTTAAATCGTTTTACCTTGGTGTATGGAAGTAGKAGCTGGCATTACTTGTTTGAGATGGTGTTTTCTAGTAGATTTCTCTTTGACGTTCTTTCTCGTTGATAATACTCCTTCAAATGTACCATCATTCCTTCAATTATCAACAACAGAAAATATGATTGAATCATATGTAGTATTAAGGAATARAAGAATCTCGCTTAGACAAGCGTTCATTGGAGACAGGACAAGATCACTGGTCACTTCCGCTTATCAAGGGGCGTGTCTGAGCGCGTGTGTCACGCGATTTATCAAAACATCTTTGGTTCGCATGGTGTGATTTAGATTTCATAGATTGGTCTCACTAATTATTAATCGGTTTTCACAGCTCTTGTCCTTTACTGGGTGTATTTTGTTGTGATAATAAGTGTGAACAGCACAAATGGAGGACATTAGCGTACGTTTAAGATGTTGCTTACACAGTATTGACTGTAAGTACATGTATCGGCAAATATAAAAGCGATCTTTTGCGTTGTGGTAGTACGTTTACTTAAACAATTGTCTATATATAATTGGAGTTTCTAAATTGAGTAAGGAGTTGTCGGATTCTCGCACTACTAYGTACTGATCTATGTAGCTTTTTCGGATCATATATTCCCTTGAAGAAAGATGTTACACTACAACAAATCCTAAGCTTGATAATAAACAAATAAGCAAAGGGCTGAGATACCGAAAAGTGACTGCGGCAAACTTGAMTGATGAAAGGCACAAGTGAGCTCATTAAATAGCCTTGAGTATCAACAAGCACTGTTTTGATGATGGAMTGTCTTCATTCAATCCTGAACAAAAACATCTTGGAGATAAACGAAATATTATGATCCATGGTCTCGAAAGATAATTGTTTTTTGTTGATTGTTTATATGAAGTATTATTGTTAAAATTGCGCTAATATGATTAAAATATCATGCCTTGCGGCCTCCAGCCACCATAGGAAGCCCGGTTACATACCATTGYGAGTTTTTCATAACTGAAGAATCCGTTGAATCTCCGATGACGAATGAGACATTAAAAAGTAAGAACAGGAAGAGAAACCATTTGAGTATCAGTGCTTGTAACACACTGCGCATGACACAATGACTTTACACCACTGAAGCGACATCAAGTACCTGTAGTAAGAATARGCCATGTKGGTTAGTCGAAATCAGTGCGTGCCCAATGATTAAATTAGTCTTAAAGTAAAGGAAATTTGATCCATGCTCATAGAGCATTTGGCAAAGTAAAAGCAAATACAAATGATAAAATGTAGAGATATACAAATAACCTGAGGAAAGCGCTTTTAAAATGATGCTTAACATCAAGAGGAAATTATGGAAAATCTAATTGATTGCAGTCCTTTTTAACTGCCGGAGTAACAAATTGAGAACGTAAACTAAATGTTAACCAATACGCAGCCACGTCAACATCATGCCTAAAGAGAAAACATACCCATTCCATATCTCTGACATCTAGCGGGATCATAATGATTTAAAATCGCCGAAAAGAATTAAAAATTGGATGCAAATTACTGTTTCTTCCGACATTCATAGCCATTACGTGCTACTATACTAGCGTCTATCAGTAGAAACGCATTCAATACCATTCAAGTTGTCGTAGTTGAAAAACAACACAATATTTGACGAAAACTCATACCTTAAAAACTATTGATGCCAATTATTGAATTCTAGTAAATGCAAAATATTATTGCTTCAAACCAAGATAATGGTGTAATGTAAATGTTGGTTAGGTATAARAAAAAAACCGCAATACCGACAATGTTTTTTTTCGTTTCAAAAAATCAGTTTCATTTCACTGAGTTATYAGTATCTCGGTGATATCAAAGATGTTATTTTACAGTGGTGATTTGACAATTCAGTAATGTGAAATTCAACTAGTTAAAAAGAATATATTAACGCACCTCAGGTCTTTGTGAAAGGTAGATTTGTATTGGTTTGTGTGGTTGAAGGCCTATATACCACAGATCACACAGAGATACGCCATCTTCACAGGTTAATTGTGTTAGAAGCAAAAACCAACATATTTTCGAACGATGCGGTTTAGCGAGGTATGTTCGGTTCCTGTTCTCTAGATGATCGGAAATGCGATTTTAAATTATCTCGCTAAAGCAGTATTTGCCTTGTCTGGCCTGATCAACACGACTTCTTTTGAAAAAAACAACAACAGATAATCGACAGTTATCCGATAAAGGTTTTAGCAGTTTTATAGAGAGCAAATGACTGTCCCGTGGGGAACATAATGATTGTCAACAAGTAATACCTGGAACTAATTACACGATATAGCATGCATTACGATAGATTAGCGAACAATAACAGTTCATTAAGGGGGCGTCAAAAGCAGCAATATCTGGTAATGGTAGTAATCTGTAACAGCCAATAATAAGGCTATATCTGATCATTGTATGTTTCCAGTCGGTCATATGCATGGCATGGATTATTGGCATCTGATATAAAGTTATCTCGGTTTCTTTTGCGATTTTTTTWATTATTCTAGTTTGTCATCTATTTTGATACCATCTAAATGAGCTTGTTAACAGATTAACAACATTGAGTGACAAAATGGCGGGAAAATGATCAAAAACTGTGCTTATTGATTTTTACACGCTGTGATATTCTTGAGACATTTGACACGATGAATAACTGGTCAGTTTTTCTTTTAATTCTCGTTTTCGTGTATGACATAGGAACTATTGTTTTAATATCTTAACTAATTTTCTGCGATTTATTCTTTTTGAATCAAATATTAACGAGGCTATTTTTTTCAGCAAATTTTAAAGAAAGTCAACTRCCGCTTTTGATTTCAATCATTTTCATCTTCAATGATTTAATGTTTTGTCACGAAATAATTAAAGTATGTTACCGTTATTTATTAAAACTAAACTAATAAGTCCCTAAAAAGAAGRAATCRAGATCCCAACAGAACGGCATTGTACGCCGCAACGACATGGCAAGGAACGATCACTATATCTGATATATGAAGACCGAAAATTATTTGTTAAAATTAAACTGGTCAGTCAGTTGTTGAGTCAGCAGTAAACCAAAATAGGTCAGTCGCCATTTCGCCAGTCACCAAGTCAATTAGTCATGCAGTTAGCGAGGCAGTTACATAATTGTTCGTTGTCAATTGCTTTGGTGTTAAAATTGATACATATTATARCACTATAAACTCGAAAGCTTTTTGCAATCCATGCTTACCAATCTYGCGTTTGACCCAAACTGTTTACACTTCATGGTAAATATATTAATAATCCCATAAAATCATGCAAAAATCGTGCATGTACAATGTACAAAAGTATACTCTAGAATAACCATGACACTCTTCTGTGAAATATAGCGATTCCTTTTCCCTTTAATTGACTTTGACTATTATTAATCAGATCTCACTTATATGCTAAATTGATCGAACTACGAATAATTATTCTGTACTCATCACAAGTGTGTTTGTATAGCAACGGGTTAAGACAATAATAAGTTGGGTAGTATATGGAATACTAACCGGACAAGTGAAAATGCATACTCAAACAATAGATTCGCGCTTGCAACTGGTTGAGAAAGAAAGCTAAACTGAAATACCTGAAAAACGAACAGACATTCATGAGTCTTCATTTGAACGATTGCAAATCAGCTTTGTCAGTAATCACTTAAAAGTGATCTTCATTAAATATCTGTTACCCAAATCCCTCAAATGTTTTAAAAATAAGTCRAATAACTCCATTTAATGTCATTCGATAAAAGCAAAGAAAAAAGCGGAACAAGCGACGTTTTGTCAGATAGCCAATAATCAAATGCCATGCAAATCTAGCGAATCGAGGAACATGAACGATGTGTCGCTACAGTATTGATTTTATTGAAACATTCGCTGCATGGGATAATTGAATAAATTTATGATTAAACGATTAAAGAAATGAACTTGTCGTTGATAGCAGGCCATAGGTATAACTAAAGTTGATAACAATCGATGATAATATCATTTTGCTAACCTGCATGTTTCTCGAAAACTATTTCATGATAACGTATACTCACTAGATTGTTGAGTATCAATACAATTGAAAGTATTCCAGAAATTTTTCTTCTTCTTAAGATCAAACTAATGATGCTTCTGAACAAAAAGGGAATTGCGTACTTTTGTATATATGTACAGTAAGCAATGATATAATAGGAGTCGAGCTCATTGAGGAACGAAAAGTCGTTCAAAGACTAAGGCTCCAAAGACTTCAGTGATTAGCATACTCAATATGTTTTGTATATAACAGCTCTTTAGCTCTTACGATGATGGCAACATAAGTCAAACCTATCGYTAACAAATGGAATTATGAGAAGTATAGAACCGATATCCAATAATTCTTTTTAACGTTCACTTCAGCCCTTCGTGGCAGCTACATGACACGAAAATATCTAACATTCCAAGCGGTTTAGTAGTCAATCATCTCAMTACATACATCACCCATTATGTACAACAAGAAATRGCATAAAGCAAGCTTACTTTCATCGAGGATTTTTATCCGCTGAAGCTTGTTTCTGTGTACTTCTTGCTGTCCAAGCGTCATGACGTTATAATAAGTTATGCATGGTGGCGCGTACTGATATGCATAAGTCGTCTCTTAATAACTTTTTAAACTCAGTAGGCCGCTAATCCTAAACACAAAGGAAATTACCTATTTGATCAAACATGAACAAACTTCTATTTATTGTTGATTCATATTATATCTCTCGATAGAACTAGCTACAGTTCTTRTACAAAGCGGTAAAATTAAATGAATAGGTGACTAACAATTTTGTAAAGTTTTCAGAACCTGAAAGTTTTGTTTTTGTTTTGTTTTGTTTTTCTGTCCATCCCTCGACACTCGTTGCAAGTTATGCTATATTTAATGAAAAATRCGAGGTTGAGTTATTCAAAATCACAAGAATATTGTTTCAAGAAACGCGGAAAAAATAACAGGGATCAGTTATTAGAGTCAGTATGTCGGAACAGGCGGTCGAAAAATATGTCACGTGACCATTGAAAGGGCGCTTAATCATTTGATTAATCGCTTTACCTTTGGTGCGAAAAAAATATTTACAACGTTTTAATTGCAATTTTGACAAGCAAAATTTACGTCTTCAGCTGTTTTAGAGTTTTACTTAATTCAACAAAAGGGGACCTGGAGCAGATGGTCGATTTTGCTTATGATATTCGTGCTTCGTTSAACGTTTTTAYGAAYAACTTGTTATTTTGTTTTTTCTATTCTTCCTGATTTCGTGTTTTATGACTTCAAAMTCTTATCGCATTGATGATGCCCTAATTGTTCGTCTAATGCGAATATGATTCSATCTTGTTTTATCTTGTACTTATCAACGTCTATCATGATYATTTGACGATATTTTGCAGTTCTTAAGGCTTCTCTACATTATGCAGATTGAACACAAAAAGGCCAAAAGAAAACAATGGAATTAACAAGAACTTAGGTAGTTGACGTATGCAATCTTGCCGCGCGTGTCGAATTTTGTGAAAATCATACAATAAAGACAATTGATGTTTTTTATTTTGGTTGATAGTCTAATGTCAGTCACGATTGCAATCCCTACCAGACAGTTTTTACCAAATCATCATCACTGCATTATTATGAGTGCAATATCACATGCCGTATTTTCTCAATTCTAACAGGTTTTTGTTTCCCATGGTAGTTGTTAAACACTCATATAATTAAGCGTACTCAGATTCGGCTAAAATCGTCTGATTTGMATGTACAAACAATTAAAAGATCATCCTAATTAATTCAGGAAACATCTGCTCATCGAGAGCTATTTATCGCTGCATCTCGTGAAGACTTTTTTATTRGGGCTGCAGTACAAACGACCAAACTCATGCTGTAGCCAACGATTTCACATTGGACGCACAACTTCGTATGCTCAACAGTTCCGATTTCATGAAAATAATACTCTAAATTATTTAAGTTTATATAGCTTATAGTTTTGAGGGATTTAGGAAGCAAGTTTATTGAAATAGCATGCGCATATTGAGAAGGTATATTGAGGCGTGGGATGAATGCTCAGCTTTGTCAACCTGATTCCATGGATAACACTAAACAAAAAAAACACCCTGTTGCGCTGTGCCTTATTACTCTTTCAAATGAACATTTGCCAGTATTGTTTGTAGGGATTTTTCATGCAATTTTCATTAGTAATGCAGCTATTGTTCAAGACGGTTTACAAAAGCTCACCTGAATTCGCGACGAAAAGTTCCGAGTCTGTTGTGATATCAAGATACAAAGTCATATGGCTTGTTTTTGAAGATTATAATTGTACAGAGATACATATTTCAACCGGTCTGGTTAAAGAGACGCATTTTGTTGTATTGGCTTTGCCAAATGTTGAGCAATACCAACTTAGAAACACTTAGAAACACATAGCACTTTAAATGTCTCGACTACTACCAACACTAGAGATGGTTTGATGAGGACTACAAGAAAAGACTTCACTCAGGACAACATGCTATTTCCGCTATTGTACAAATAACCCACAATCCTTTGTACGGCAAACTGCTTTTWCCGAATACATATATTATYTTACGCCTGTATTTTCGTATTCAAAATTGCCTAGTGGTCCTTCAGGTATAAATATGTAAATTCTGTTTTTAAGCTATGTTAAAATGCTTCAGTGRAGGATCTCATGTCAAGGATATTTATTTAATAGTCTCGTGAGAGGCATGACACAATGTCGAATGGATTAGAACGTTTTAAATAATGGTCAAATATTGGTAATTAAGCATRATTCCCGTTTGAGTGATTAACTKACTTGACTAGTTTCTGTACTTGAATACACAAGACTGCTGCAGATCAGACATCGATCTTTTCAAGCCGGAAACACGATCAAAAATAAACCAGTGAAACATTAGAATAAAACTACAACAACAAGAAAAGCTGTAAACTATAGCTKCAAAAAATAAAAAGAGAGATTGGAAGGTGAAAAGATGACAACGAATAAGAACCGASAATAATGATAGATTTACACAAAATTTCAAAAAACCAATTTCCTCTCTTATCCAAATGTTTCAATGTTCCTCGAAAACTAACGTCGGGTACGAATCCTCGGCTTCCTTTCCGCATAAATGGTTAAATTGAAAGAAATTTCCCAAATGGTATCTTTTTTTTTCTGTGCTTGAAAAGGTTTATTGTATTTTCATTTCAAATAAACTCTCAGGTTTCAATCTTCTGAAATGAAAACYATTTTCATTTCATTCAAAGGTTTTTCCTGTCAGGTAAAACACACTACACCGCAGTTCACCACGCGGTTATAAAGCTCGTACACTGTACGTATATACCAACGTATWCATATAGCATATCGATTATATTAAGTTATTCTGGTAACTTGCATATATATTTTGATTTCCCCGGAAACGTGCGAACCACGGTTTCCATTTTGTGATTTTTTTCAGCCAATCGCCGATGATAAAAAGATCGTCTGTTTGTCTTCTMACTGTRAGTCAAGCAGAAAAACACAAAAATAAAAACACCCGAAGAAAGCAAATGCTAGCACACACTTTTGTTATATTTTAYCAATTTTAATATTCATTTATTTGTTGTATCATCTTTACTTTAATCATACAGGAAAAAAACTGAAAAGACTAAAAACATGAAACTGACATCAACGTTTTGACATATTTGCAAAGTGTATGAACAATAACAGTGCTGTTTGGATATATGCTTCAGAATTGAACTGTGTTTGGAGACGATTATCCATCTAATAAATTCTTCCTTCCAATAGTCGGTATAGATTGTATCTGCTGGATAAGAATTTACTCAGTGGATAGCAATATTCATGCCTCAGAAATTAAAATAATAGTATGATATATACTGAAGGTCATTTTTCTTCACTTGCTGTTACAATATCAGTGGACTGAGGACAGTATGTCAAAGTTATAAAATGTTCACGATTCATCAATGCTATCGTCATTTTCTTTTGTATCTTCATTGCTATCATCTGTTTTTTGTTTCTTAGCTTCTGGTGCTGAATCTTCACTGCTTTGTAATTCAGATTTCCGTCGTTTTGACTCTGCTGCTGCTTCTTTCTTTCCCTTCTGTTCCCTCTTGAAAGCTGTCAATCAATCACAKTTTAACAACATCATAAACATTACTAATCAGAGATTGGTAAAGATAAAAGTAGTTGAAATGAACATTAATGACAGATGCACATGTAGATAATATTACCAATAAGGTCCTCTTTAAGTTTTGGGATAAATTCCTCAAACTCCATCTCTTCTAATGCTTGGAAAACATCTGATGCAGTAAGAGTCTTCCTTTTTGCAGAAACAGCTATAGTATTTGCACTATCCAAAGAGAATATTGTACATTTAGAACCTGACCCTAACACTAAGGCTTTACACTTATTATAAATATCAATTTGAAAAGGTATACTCACCAAGTTGTGGCATAAAGTACAAATACACTTGCAGCTTTACTGATGGCTGCCCTGGCTTCTTTTGCAATATTAACTCCATCAGGAAGCTACATAAAACAATATATTTCATCAAATGAGTGTCAACACTCTATTACCCCCCTAGCTGCACTAGCTTGCGTGTAGACGAATTTTCACCCCATGAATTTTTATCCAGCATCAATAATTCCGGAATTCAACCCTGACCCTGTTCCAGAGAAAATTCGTTGAAATYGATACCCTGTTCCAGAGTAAAATTGCTAAAATYGATACCCAGTTCCAGAGTAAAATCGCTGAAAACGATACCCTAGCTGGCGGCACGTCCCCGTATAGCGAATATAGGGGAGTACMCCCCCCCCCCCCTGGGCTATTACCTCAAAAAATTTGAGCTCTAAGTTTGCTATTATCCAACTCTTTTCCAGCTGACCCCCTACCCACCCCTCCCCCTTACCAACCAGTTACTTCTCATCAGGCTGTCAGCCATTTGGATCCTAGTTTACAATGTAATAGGAATAACACTTGCTTTAGGTACTTACTGCATCCTTTACAAGCCGYACCATTACAGCCGTGGGTAGACTGAGATCTTCAACTTTTTCTGCCATGGATATCTACAAGTCGAAAACAACATGGCAAAGTGGACAGTAGTAGATCGTCTAATCTTGTATTATTTACACAAATATGCATTATATAACGCTAAATGGCATAAAGAAAACCTTACATTCGATAAATATTACCTGTAAACTGTTATAAAGTCAAGAAAACTATCAAAGAACCGACTTGATTTCCAGTTTCGATKAATTTCCCGCGACTTCTGTGTTTCAGAAATAGAAGAGCTATTTTGRTTGGTTAGTGGAAGTTCTTCATTATCCAATAAGAGTCTATTTTATATTTGAATGTTTCAAAGCATGATTCTAGATCTAAAATTTGATTTTTTTTATCTTCCAAGCAATGAAGAGTATAATTTTGCATTTGGATTTTAAAAATATGCTTTGAAATTGAGAGTTTTCCAKAAATCTATAAGTCATAAGTCCTATAAATCTTTTTTTCCTATATGGGTCAGCGGACTTTCAAACTGAACAAGCGCATGYCATCCTCCAAAAGGAACTCTCTGGAACAAGGAAAGATGAACATGAAAATCTGATTTAAAAATTTTCTAAATTCTCCTTAAATTTTAGTAAAAAGAACGCCCACAACTTCCTGTATAAGAAGTAAGTCTTACTTAAATTAAATATCTTTACAGAAACGTATTCTGTATAAAATATACCAGTATATGTTGAAAATTTTATGCTGAAGTGATCACAGCGTGGAGAAAATCATCCGCAGAGACGTCAAGTATACAGAGTAATTTCACTGTAAATCATTATATATTGAAAAGCTTGATGTGAGTTTTTTTCTAATCCTTTGCCAAATAATACGGATTTGTCGATTTGTTTGCAAAAACACAGATAAACATGAGCAGTTCAGAGGAAGTTTCGTGGATTTCTTGGTTTTGTGGGCTCCGTGGAAACGAGTTCTTCTGCGAGGTAAACATTTTTCAATTTTGCTCGTACCATAATCAAATATACAATATTTTTTTCCGATAGTATAATAAAATCATGAGACATGTCTTAAGATACCCACAGGCAACCCATATCAACAAATTTTKCATCTTCATGGTATTTACAGTTTTATAGTTATCATGTTACATCATCACTGGAGAACTAGATTATATTTTTGATATCATCTACTTCAGGTTGACGAGGATTACATCCAAGACAAGTTTAACTTAACAGGACTTAATGAACAAGTACCACATTACAGACAAGCACTGGATATGATTCTAGACATGGAACCAGGTACCCTGTCTCTCCTTGATTATCTTCGTCATACTTCCATGTATTCCACTGCCTGTATTACATTTACATGTTATTGTAGATGATGAGCTGGAGGACAACCCTAATCAAAGTGACTTGATAGAACAAGCAGCAGAGATGTTGTATGGATTGATTCATGCCAGATATATACTGACAAACAGAGGCCTGGCTCAGATGGTAGGTTGAATCATATCAGTTTTTCTGTATTTTCAATTTTAATAATGCTTGCTGTTTGCTAATTATTATTCCTTGCTTTATGAATAGCTTGAAAAACATCAGAATGGAGACTTTGGACATTGTAGCAGAGTATATTGTGAAAATCAGCCAGTCTTACCCATAGGTAAATAAATAAATTGAAACCAATGTTGTATTTATGAAAATATAGTGTATTTGCAAAAAAAGGACCTTCATACTTCATATATCTAATTTATAGGATTATCAGATGTTCCTGGTGAGTCTATGGTAAAGTTATACTGTCCCAAATGCATGGATATATACACACCCAAATCATCTCGACATCACCATACAGATGGTGCTTATTTTGGCACAGGGTTCCCGCACATGTTATTCATGGTACATCCAGAGTACCGGCCCAAACGACCAGCAAATTGTTTTGTACCAAGGTAGAGTAAATACCATACTACATACAAATGGATYATCATGATTTGTCTTGCTGTATCTGCCGTCTGTATTATACATATGGTTTTGTGACATGTTAGGTTGTATGGCTTCAAGATTCATCCAATGGCATTCCAGATGCAGCAGCAAGCGGCTGCAGCAGCAGCYGCACATCGTAATAAGTCATCAACATCCAGACCAAGATCAACCAAACACCAAAGATGATATTTTAAATTAGTGATATGTAACAGCTATACAATGGTTTTGAGCAGCTACTATACACTGTACATGGAATGATGCCACAAGACACGTAGCATAAATGGCAGCCGAGGAAAGTGTGTTTACAGAGAAAATGCAAGTGATAATTTTGATATCCAGAGTACCAGAGTATGCCAAAGGAAACTATTGTATAACTGTAACTCACATTTACAGATAATACATTCAATGTCTCTTTTCCAAACATACACAACAGATTTCTGCTTTCTAATTCATGGTTGTATTATCTGTGATGTGAGACATAGCATTTGATGATAAAGTACAGCTACAGATGAGTGTACAATTCTAAATAAGTCACACATATTTATAGACAAAATGTTATGTGTATAGCTTATGCATGTATATTGAGGACCCTGACCTGCTTATCAAGTCAATTATTAACATACAATAGATGTACAGTATTACGTTGACTAGGTTAATTATCTAGTTAAAATAAAAACAGCACTCTGAATAACTTGCATACATGTTTTTTTCTTTTTTTATAAACATCAATCAATTTCAGTGTTATGCATATTGCCTTGAGACTCCTAGACTACCCTGCAACAAAAAATATATTTGATATACTGYACACCTGCTTTTCATTAAACAACTAGTATGAATTCATAACATAGCAAAAAGATGCTACAAAAGAAGATATCAATTTTTCAATGTCATTGAGATGACATACATTACGAAGGGGAAAATATTCTATTTGAATCTTATCTCTTTTCTTTTAATTTTAATGCTTTCCTTAAAAAAATGTGAAGAAATATGTAAATCAAATAGTTGGCATATGCTCTTGCAGGGCTGGGCTCTTACATAGCGCATTATGGCATGTCATTGTTACYGCGCACCAYTGCAAGARCACTGCATACTTTTGTTGTATTCAGATTTTTTATTCCTTTGGGGATCAGTAGAACATGGGGACTAATTACATTACAAAAGAAAGTAAATTATGCATTCTGGTATGAAAGTCGATTATTGCAGATTATTGAGTCTRCGCCCGCGAAAGAGGACAGCAGTTATCTTTGAACATGCGCATTTTGTCCATCGGGAGACCGGGAAGAGACTGTATACGATCGATAATATTGTTCAATATGGACATTTAATGTGTAAAATATCTCGTCTGTTGCTGTACCTAGACTGAAACAATCCACTGTACTTTTGTGCGTCAAAATGTAAGTAAATGACGCACGCGATGGTGAAGTCAAAATACACAAAATCCGAGTTATTGTTGATGAAATCATTTCGGTCGTCGCGTTTTGTAAGCAGCTGTTCCGTCAAGCAATTGCDCCTTTTGTCTCAAAGTCTCAAAGTGTAAAATCAGACTGTAGAATTTACCCAACAAATCTAACCTGATTTATTGGAMTTTCTTTGGCTTTCATTAGCAGTTTACACTGTCCAAAGTTAAAGCGATTCGGCAGGAAATATGAGCAGTTCAGAGGAAGTGTCATGGATATCTTGGTTTTGTGGGCTCCGTGGAAACGAGTTTTTCTGTGAGGTAAACACTCCTATTGTAATGCTCTGTGGTATTTTGATTAGGAATAAGACTTTTAATACCGATGCTAATGTCACCTTCATATAAATTCACAATTTGAGACGTTATGTTTACTATCTGCAAGGGAATGTGGTTCATTGTTTTGTTTCGCACACACCCTTACTTACAATACCAAGATGTTCTCCATTTTAACCTTTAATATATCTAGACTATCCTAAACGATCCTAAACCTAAATCGAGCATACATTCCTAACATAATATGACTGACAGATTTATGAAAAATATAGAAAATGTGCTAATGAGGTTGGAGTAAAATTCGCCGAATGTTTTCAACACTATACGCATAATAATTGATACAATATTAGCTCCTTTTTGCTTAAGCATTTCTTGCGACGAAAACGTAYGATAGTGTATTTGTTTCTTCTGTGTATATATATATTTTTCATCTATTGTTGTGCCATAAAATGTTTGTTTCATGAATATTCTTTTACTAACAACCTGTACAGAGGTGTTGTTTTCACATTTCAAACATTTTTCAATTCTATTGTTTATTTGACCAGTATTTTTGCTTTCTCTGTAGTTTCTATTTCGCTGTAGCTTGGAATGAATTGGAATTTAAAAAAAGATTCCCACTTCATTGTCTTTTTTTTATGTCGTAGGTCGATGAGGATTACATCCAAGACAAGTTTAACTTAACAGGACTTAATGAACAAGTACCACATTACAGACAAGCACTGGATATGATTYTAGACATGGAACCAGGTACCCTGTCTCTCCTTGATTATTTTTGTCACAATTCCATGTAATCCATTGCCTGTCTTACATTTACATGTTATTGTAGATGATGAACTGGAAGACAATCCTAATCAAAGTGACTTGATAGAACAAGCAGCAGAGATGTTGTATGGATTGATTCATGCCAGATATATACTGACAAACAGAGGCTTGGCACAGATGGTAAGAGTAAAAAGAAGTATAATTATTAATTGTGAATTGTCATGGTATTGAGTTCATTTCATTTTTTATCAACAGCTTGAAAAATATCAAAATGGTGATTTTGGTCATTGTAGCAGAGTATATTGTGAAAACCAGCCAGCATTACCAATAGGTAATTAAATGATTGCAACTGAACACTCTCCTTGTGTACACCCCAAACACCCTGTYATTATTAACACTTCCCCTCTATCGCTGCTCCCAAGAAATAACCAAAAATAACTCTCCATAAAGTGGGCATTTGATGTTCCAGACACTTAATTAAGGTGTCCCTAAGGTTTCTTTTATATTTTGAGTTGACTGTATAGTGTACATGTACTTAAGTATTTACAGCTGTAACTTGGATGCTCYAAATCTGTAAAATATAATTTCTAATTAGCGGTAAATAGTGTTTGATAGACTATAGAAGATACAGCAATTAGATTCTATTTTGTTCTACATGTTGGTCAAAGTGTGTTCATTCTTCTTAGTRATTATTGGTATAGTTCTCCCTCCGTTTTGCAATCATGTTAAAAGTTTGTTTTATATATTAGGACTTTCAGATGTACCAGGGGAGGCAATGGTAAAACTATACTGTCCCAAATGTATGGATGCCTATACACCCAAGTCATCACGGCATCACCATACAGATGGTGCTTATTTTGGCACAGGGTTCCCACACATGTTATTCATGGTACATCCAGAGTACAGACCAAAACGACCAGCAAATAGCTTTGTACCAAGGTAAATTGAAGAWTATTAAGGCCAAATTAGATGGCATTGCTTTTGTCTTGTCGCATTAGGTTGCCTCAGGTTTTCTTTAAWATATTGGTACAACATTACTGTCACTGGGRTATTAMRCAATAGCTATAATGTTATAATGCATCATTGATGCATCAGTTAGTGCTTTCCTCAATGGTGTGGTAGAGAAAAATCATTATTACAATGTTTCATTACCATCATTGACAACATTGTTGTTATTAATATAACATAAATTTAAGCCCTATTTTTCAAAGACCAGAAAGGAAGTGAGAAACAGTACTTTAATATAAATCTTTTTTAGAGATTGTTTATTATATGTATAAATGGCTTATGCCAAGAATTGAAAGAATGTTATGTGTGTTTTCCTGACAGACCATTCATTTATAAACACTTCAAAATGTTGGTTACTGACTTCAACTGTTGTCTTTAAGGTTATTTGGTTTTAAAATCCATCCAATGGCATTCCAAATACAACAACAGGCTGCAGCACAGCGTGGCAGATCATCATCTGCAAGACCTCGCTCTAATAAACCCCATTACAAATAATGTATATATATACCAGAAGACATTTTATTTAGCTTTGAAATACTATATCTATGAGAACTTCTTGTCAAAGTTTTGATCAGTTTGCTCTAGCAGGCCTAGGTTTCTTTAAGATTGTTTGTGTAAGTTTTGCTCATTTTGCTAGACCAGTTAGAATTTATTTTCATGAGAATAGTAGATCCACATAGTTGAAGAATAGTTAAATGTTGCATATCCTGCATGAGTTATATTTACTAAACAAATATCAAATTGGAATACAAACTAATTAGATTTACATGTGGTCCATGAACAACATTGTTTGATACCACACATCAAACACCATCAAATGACAATTGGATTGTCTAACAGTATGARCCTTCTTAGTAGTCTTTCCTATTGTGGTTATTTGATGTTGCACCTCATTAACTATTCATGTTCTTTTTTGCTGTTAAATTGTCAGAAAAATGTGTATTATTTATTGTTAAAATAATACTCGGAGTTTTATTGCAATATAAACATATTTACACTTGTTTGTTGTATCATATAACTAATATGTACGTGTATAACATGACTTTCATTCTGCTTACAATTGACACTGAATATGGCTCAAAGCACTAGCCACAAAAACAACCAGATGTAAAAACATASTCTTCTTTGCAGCCGGTTTCTTATACGGAACAGGAATCCCGAAATAAATACGGCTGCRAAGGAGAATATACAATCATGTAATCATCCCAGATGCTGTTTCAATAAATGCTCGACTTGCTATCGTCTGAAGACGAGGCTCGGCGGAAATAGATAAATCTATTGTTTTCTCGTATTCTCGGTTACAGTAAAAAGTGGACTGCTAAATCATCACTTTAAGGCTCAGCTTTTTGCCGTTGRAGTTTCTGAGTTCCTTTTCGACAGGTGAATTTGTATAATTCGTAGTTGTTTTTTTTTTAAATTCACGCTGCTTTCATTGACACGGTATGACCAGTGACACAACTCGCTGACAARAGCGTTCCATACTTAGAAGCGTTGCTAAACGGAGTAGCTATCTTGAGCTTTCACAAATTTATGGTTAGTGAGAATACAGCGGTATACTTGAACACCGATGTGATGATTGCCCTCTTTGGCCGTCACTAATAGAATGATCATCAATTTAATTACAAACGGTCGACACAGGGTTTTATTGAAATGAATTGCCAAAATTCCCAATGTTGATCCAATAGCCGACTTGCGAATTACGCATCAATAGACACATAGAGAGGAATGAAGTCGAGGCGCCGTGCTAAAGTCAATAGATTTTTCACAAAAAAGCACGGCGCCTCGTCTTGATTCCTTTGTATGTGACTATTGATGCGTAATTCGCAAGTCGGCTATTAAACGTTTGTCTGTGATTTATAACTCAGAATACAATATCAAATCCGATAGATTTAGGATGTGGAACTGAATGAAGGTTATTTCAGATGGACACTGCTGTAGTTTTTTTAATAATGGGTCCCACTCTGATTTCAATTCTATTTCTATTAATTTATCGTTCCTATTTCTGTATTTGTGAAACCTAAAATGAGGAAATTTGTCACCATAATCACCCAAGCCTCCGTGTTTTTTTTCCAGTCATTCTTATTTACTTTAACTCAAAACGGGGATTTGGATAGCTGATTTGTTTAATGATTCGTGTCTTGATTCTTGCATAGGACATCGCGTCGTCAAGGCGCTCAAACCATCTTTCAATCACTGGCCGGCGTTCCTAACTCTTTCTGTACGGCGTCACACAAAACTAGATAGAAACGACGCGGAGTTTGCATTTATTGTCCACAAAGCAATGCGTCGATTTTCTTTTTTGCAAAGTATTACAGTACTTTTATTGTTTGGTGCTTGTGTTTATGTTTCAAATCTCGTTGCGCAGTATGTTCTAAAAGGTAAGTTTGAGAGTGATTTAATGAATTGACGCCAATAATCAATATTGTTTTATTTCGATTTATAAATTTTAGATCTTGTTTTCATGGAGCCCCACTATTAAATAAAAATAGTTCCTTGTATGAAATGAWATAATTATTTATCCTAGTTATTGAGAGAGAATGCAGACATTTTAAAACGTGGTTCCACGTAGGTTCTTCAGTTGAAAAAAAAGCCCTGAATTATATCAGTGAAAAATATTAAGTGATCAGAACAAGATTTCCATATTGACATAATTAGCAAAATCTATCTAACTGATGTCACTGGGAATCGCATTTCGTGGTGAAGTGATTGCAAAAAGTAGCGTTAAAGCATTGCGACTTGTTGGGGTTGTTAAATTCTGTCTTTTTATGACTTATTTCATAGACGTGTAACTGATAAACTCAGTAAGAACTAATAGAAACTAAGAGGTAATCTTGACCTAAATTTGACTAGAATTGCAATATCCTAAACCCATATTTTTCTTACTAACTTCAAACTATCTCCTTCTAATGACACGTGGCGAATTCTTAACTATCATTGGCAAGACTGACGGCTTTGAATATCATATTAACCTTCCCCAAATGAAAATCAAACATCCGACTAATGATACAACAGCTCATAAAAAATGCCGGCTKCACGTACGGGACTGGGGAATCGCACAGGGTGTCACAGCATTGTTCACTGTTTTGATTCTAGAGAATGGTGGATATAGTCAATGGTCTGTCTTTACTGATTGTTCAAAGACATGCGGTGGAGGCATTCGTTCTCGCAGAAGAAAGTGTAACAACCCTCTTCCTAGTTTTGGTGGCAGTAACTGTTCAAGACTCGGGCCTCCTTCACAAGTGTTTGCATGCAATAGACAACCATGTCCGAGTATGTATTCTGTACCATGCAAAAACACATTTTCACTACACATCTAGTTCTTGCACTGTATGCCTTGAATGCTGATCAGGTGCATTTGTTTTTGTGAATACGATGTCTCGCCTCTTTGGCAATGTTAATTACGCGATAATTCTAATAGTTACTACTATTGAATGGTTATTTTATAGTAAACGGGGCATACGGTCCATGGGGTGAGTACGAAGCATGCACTGTTACGTGTGGTGGAGGTGTGCAAGTACGAAGACGTCTGTGCGACAAACCTCCACCGCAATACGGAGGTAAAAACTGTAAAGAAATGGAACTTGGCGATGACCAGGAAACAAAGAGTTGTAATGAAGAAAAATGTCCAGGTATGCTTCCGTAACAAAAATCAAATAATGAAAACCACTGAAGGAATGCCTTACATATCCCACCTGTACTCATTAAAACAATGAATTATCTATTTTTATGTAGTTAATGGTGGCTATTCTGTTTGGAGTGAGTTCACCGATTGCTCAAAGAGCTGTGGAGGTGGTGTCAAGTCACGTGCTCGCACTTGTACCAATCCATCTCCTGACGACAAAGGCAAGGACTGCGCAGAACTTGGACCAAGCAACGAAACAGAATCGTGTAACAACGAGCCGTGTCCAACAACAATGCCGACAACAGAACTGCCAAAGACGGATGATACAACTTTATCACCCGAGACAACACTCGGGAAACAAACCGAGAAACCAACAACTGAGCAGAATCCAGACACACCGGCTACAAGTCAACCATTAGATACAGAAACAAAACTGAATACTACATCTGAACAATCTCCAACAACTATATCAACTCCAGAAACTACCAAAGAGGCCACGGAAACAAAATCAAATTGAAATCACCAGATCACTGATAGGAACAGATACGACATCGTCAAGGCAGAGATTTGAAGCGTTGTTTAGGTACTGCGGACAAGGATAAAACTAAAATCAARTACTCCTAGGCTTTTTATAATAATTGCTTACTTGACTGTTATAAATGTAAATCTTATATACATTCAAAATTATAAATACAAGTAACCTATAGTGACAAGATGCGGGAAAATAAATAAGCTCAGCATAAATATTTTAAATATTAAAATAATCTGATAGCGATCGGGATGAGCAATGAACCAGACGACAAAACAGCAACAACAAAGCTAATACTGAAAACAACTTTCTTCACTTGTAGCTAATTGTACTGTTTTATCAGCGTCAAAACAGAGTTGGTCTTATGATTTAGTAAAGTCTGTTATCTTTCTAACTTTTCCGTTCGTTTTCTCAGATGAGCGTTTTCTTTTCGGCGGAGATTTCTTTACATTGGCTGCTGAAAGAGGATAAAATAATAGGTGTTAATAAGAAGGTAAATAAATCAGCTGCCTGAAAAAGACGAGAAAGAAATGCAATACGAGCAATGAAAAAATGAAGGGAAAGAAAAGAGAAAAGGATAAGCKAAGCATAACTYACCTTGCTTGCTTCCATATTTCGCTTCCCTTGCTTGCTTCATTCTTGCTAGATTCTTTGTAACTGCTTTAYTATGATCAACAATCGGCTTTGGATAGTCCTTACCAATTACACAYCCTGCTGCCTGCTGTACACTCAATGGTGAATTCCATGGGTCRTAGATATACTTTGCAGGAAAACGTTTCAAAACTGGCAGATATTTTCTAGTGAAATCGTAAAAGTGTGGTTTACGCAACGCAAAACGTGCCCCATTATTTAATACAATAACACCCTTCACCCAGTTCTCTTTTAAGTTATAAGAGAAAAGTGTCAATGATATGCTCAATATTCACTGATAGATTATAGATTAAATGACAAACTATTGTGTTTTACCTTATAAAATCCCCATTTGGGTCTGTCTTTTTACCAAAGGCAATAGGAGAATACACACGAAAATATGCATGAAAAAACGCACTTGCAGACAACCACATCCAATTACCAGCATTCAAGCTCCAGTCATGATCAATCAACAGATTTTCAAAAACCTTTAAAAAACAAATATAAACTAATTTAAAATCAGGCACAGGAAAAGAGCAAGAAGAGAAATATTAAATAGCATCTGTAAACTGCTAAATGTATTGAAAACTGTGTTGGCAGGATCAGAGGGTTGTGTTATACCTTCAGTCCCTCCTCCCAGCTGATCCATAGATCTCCCCTGGTAAGAAAACAAGCTACTGCATGACGAGCCAAGTGATGGATCCAGCCTTCTTTACGCAGCTTGATCATGATAGCATCAATAAAAGGGAAACCAGTGCACCCCTGAAAAACATTGACAAATAAGTCAAACAACATAAGAACAAATAAAATGAAATATATCCTGTTAATCCAGACATAAAYGACATACCGTTGACCATGCTTTAAGATGATCATCATTTTTATCCCATGGTATCTGCAGGCAAACTCTGTTTCCTTCCATTTTGTTAAAGTTTGGAGTATTGTGAGCACATGTACTAAAGAATTCCCTCCAAAGTAGTTGTCCATGTAGTGATACTGGAGGCTGTGAATGTTTTTTAGCCTGAAAATGTAAAAAACTTAGTTAAAGATTGCTGACTACAAGTTATCATATCATCATGATCATGTATTCTATGTTCTGGAGCATACATACCTTTGAATAAATCTCTTGAATTTTCTTATAAAACAGTCTTACTGATAAACATCCTAATGCTAAATATGGACTTAGTACTGTAGTACTTGGCTCTATTGAGTTGGGTGATGTACTAGGCTTCTCAAATTTGCAAACCCAGTCCTATAAAACACAAAGGAAATTACCAATAGACTGACTGGACATTTAAAAGAGTGAGATGTGAATTAATGATTAATGTACCTGCTTTGCCATGTACTCATTCATTCTTCTCAAAGCTTCAACCTCTCCTCCAGGGTACAACACTTCGCTAGATTCTTCAGGGATTGATAAACCCAGATCATCTATAGTAGGAATACTGTATCTATCATGTTCGTCATCAATGGGTAGCTTGCAGCCATGGGTGATGTATCTGTCAACTGCGGGTAAAGGTTCATCTGGTGCACCAAGAGTTGACACAACAGCTTGAAAACTTTTATATGTCAGAGGAGCAGTTCCTAGGTTCTTGGCTAGTATCCTGTCAAAATATTAGCTTTGGAAAACTGATCTTTTAACACACTAAATTGTAGTGGAAATACTTACGCATCCAGGTCAAATAGTGTATGTGASACTTTTTGAACAACCTCCACATTGGCTTGGCTGGCTAGTTTGATGACCTCCTCATCCCRTGCCTTAGCARGTRMGTCAGTATCTACTTCAAAGGTCAGCTTTGTGATTTCCCACTTTTTGAAAAGGTCTGCAAATACCTCTGATGGTCTACCTTGTATAACTAATAGCCTAAATGACAAATGTTATCTAAAATTAATGGAATAAATACCATTCAACACAGGAAGCCCATGCAATGTCTTTAACTCCTAAAGCTAACACATCTGATCCATTACAATTAATCCTGAGATAGTGTTATCTTGAGAGCTAACATACCTGGAGTTAATTTGCCTTAAACTTTGGTCTAAATCTTCAAGTGACTGAAGAATGAACCGCCATCTTACAACACCAATTTGCCCGCATTTGACTAAATCCGGATCAAGTATGTAAACTGGTCTAACAGTAAGACTAGTRTCATAAGCTTCCCTTAACGCAGGGTTGTCATGCAAACGCAGACCTTTACGAAACCAATGTATGGTGTGATGAACCCTTTTAGCCGCCATACTATCTGTTTGTGCAAATGTTTAAAGTTACGTAATTTCTTCGAAGAAAGAATCGCCATATTGGACGTTTCAAAGGGAATGGCCCGGGTACTACACAATGTCCGCGCACGGTCTCATTATCAAACTTTTGACAAGAGGAATGCGGGCTCATGTAGCAAATATGGCGGACGAACAGGGAGAGGTTTTAAGTATCGTCGAAAAACGACTCCAAGAGATTGAGAGACGCGTTTTAAGCAGYGAAGAAGACCTRAAAAGGTTTCAAAATGAATCGGTTCGTGAAAAATATTTCTTAACCAATGTATTATGTAGTACTTTTCGCGTGACATTAGTAATAATGAACTGAATCTATATGATTTTTAAATCGACTTTTTTTCTCTTTGTAGTGTTTAGATACTCTAGGAAGAGTACAAAACGAGCTACAGCGTCTTGCTTCAAAGTATCAAAGGATATCAGAAACCTGGAAGAAAAGTAAGACACTTTGGATTCATTGAAATTTACATGAATTTAAAGGCTCTTTGGATAGTTGCTTTGGGACTTTGYACTGATGTAAGATTTTCTTTTTCAGTGAAAGATCTTGAAAACTTTTTATCAGCAGAATTCATGGATAAAGTGGCACTAGATGATGATTCCAAAGCTGACATTGTCATTTCAGGTCATTAATAGGAATATTTACACCTCAATGCAATAAAACAAAAGACAATTTTTAATAGCATTGWACAACATAAACACTGTAAACTAGGGGACCTTTTATGATAACCCTTTGAGGGCAGYTCTTACAATGTTAGACATAAATGTTGATGCCATATTCCATTGTTTTAAATATAATTTATGTTGACATTTTGTATTTCTGCTAAGACTGTTTATTATTTTACTCGTTTTAGGTGAAAATCAGCTAAGATTATGTTGTGAACAACTTCATGAAATTGAAGATATGAAGAAGATTGTGAATACAGAACCTTTAAAAGGTTAGTTACCATTTGTCAATAAATATAATCTAGCAAAAAAGGAAAGATGTCCAATGCTGGAAACACATAATATCATGATGTTTTTTTCAAATTATCATAGTTGGCATTTCTTTTCACAGATCTTCCRACATGGTCATCTAAAATGGAGCCATTGATTGAAATACATATCAATCAGAAGGTACATTGGAATATTTGTCTTTTATAGCATGAAGATCAGTCAATTTGCAGTCAYGAACCAGCATTTTGTAATTGTTGCATGCCTCTCATTATTTATAGGAATTACTTGATGGAACAACTTCAAGACTAAACAATCTTCTTTCAAACTACAATAATATTGTATCCTACTCATTTTACACTGTATATAAAAAAATGTTTTTAGTCTACAAAGACCAGAATCCATTGCAAGGGGWGTTCTCCAGGTATGCTGGTCTTCCTCCAGCAATTAAAAGCTAGCTATGATGAGTGTTGTATGCTACRTTGTAAAATAATAGTCAATGTTRACGTGGAGTGTGGGTCTGAGTKCCCCTGGATAGAAGAGCACTTGTTRTGGTCTTGTAAAGCAGTTGGGATGCTAAAAAAAGTTATTTATTTAATATATCAGTTTTTTGTATGATATTTTTGTTGRYGATTTATACTTTCCTTAACATRTTATTTAGATTACAATGCTGTCAAAGCAGTTTGTTGAATGGGACAATATTTTAACACGAATGGAGATTGAACTGGATACAAAACCATCYGAGTAAAATATAGAACAGTATGTTCTTGTTCCTAAGTTATTAATATATTATTTATAGATATTAGAACTCTGGGATTCTGATGTAGAGTTTTGTTTTAAGGTATAATGTGCTTCAAAGCCTTTAGCAAGTTTCCATTTGTTGAAAAGTATCCACTACTTAATTCAAGGCAGAGAAATGTTGAATGCTGATTTAGGACCACAACACATGTTAAGGTTAATGTAAAGTTTATTTAACATGATATCATTGTTTCATGGTCTTCAACCTGTTAGTTGAACTAGGAACCTGAAAGTAAAAATATGAATGAAAAAAATTAAGTAGTTAAAGGTAACCTGATAGATTCATGTCAATCTTGCTAGGTTTTACAAATGTACAGAATGAAGTATGAAGCAGTACTAGATMTTTTATGGTTGAAAAAATATACTTAACAAGAAAAAGAAAATTTAAAATGGGATATAATAAAACAAAAATTAAACAGAGAAACGTGAARAAAGCTGTCATTAGAAAAATCAGTTTGGAATCGGACTAGGGACTAGGGACTAGGGACTTGTAATGGAGAGTACATGTACATTCTTGTTTGCTAAGTAGAATCTTTGAAACCAAGCAGAACATTATACCTATTTCTACCTTTGAAATACAGGGATTTGTACTTACACACTTTGCATGTGCGTTGACACTGAATGGCTACTGCAGGGCGACTGCAGAASCGTTTGTTGTTCCAGCAGTTTGATATGTTATCTTTGCAGTCTAATAATCACATATTACAAAACAAGAGTAAAATCATTCCATTAGATTACTAAATAATTATTTCATAATTATATATCTTATTACAAGGGCTTATGTATTTTGTATATAAATTGTCACCTCCAATTTTTCGTAGGAGCAAAATAATATTATTTAATAATGATTAGGTATGTCATGTTACCRTAGCAAGGTATTGCTGAGACTGGGCTTTTGTCAAATGATCTAATTGTATGTCAGCAAATCTGACRAAACCCATCATTTAGTCAACCATGTACTTACTTCCTTCAGCACCTGAAAGCAAATAAAATAAAAAAATTAAYATTTGAAATGATAATGAAAACAAGAGCTGTTGTGCTTACAYGTTCCACATGTTTCTTTGCACCAATAGTTTTTGATATTCCAACTGGTTCGGCACGCATTCTGTAATTGCTTACAGTTATATGCCTTGTCCTTGCAATCTGAAKAGAGWAGYGTTAGTATGCGTCTTTTACCAGCTAAATAAAACCAACATTCTCTTCTATCTTCAAATCTATATTTAACATTTGTGATCTTTCTTGGCCTGTATAGACGTACCTTTCGGTGGTTTCTGAGTTGGTGGCACTGGAGTTTCGGGCTGTGGAGGTGTTCCAGTTGGTAGTGGAGGCAGAGGAGGGTCGGTAGGGATTGGTGCATCTGTGGGTAGAGGAGGTAGCGGTCCATCTGTGGGTAGAGGAGGTAGCGGTCCATCTGTGGGTAGGGGAGGTAGCGGACCATCTGTGGGTAGAGGAGGGAGTGGTCCATCCGTTGGTACAGGAGGAAATGGTCCAGGAGGCAGAGGGGGTTGAGGGCCGCCTCCATCAGGACCTACACCTAAAAACACAGTTTCGTTAGGGCTGCCAACCTAATTCTGCGTAATTAAATGATGGAGGCGTCAATGTCGTGTTCTCAATGAAGAAATCTTGCAGTATATACAAATGCCATGACTGTAAGGAGTGAGACTTCTGACACTCTTCTATTCTAGATATGCATTACACAAGTAAGGTGGGGTATAAACTGGCCAGTGGGGTATAAACTGGCCCGTGGGGTATAAACTGGCCCGTATAAAAGGCTTTGTCTCTCAAGGTTAATAACCTACCATCCTGGGCGAGAGACGATCCTATGAAGAACAGCAAAATACCTGTCAGCATGTTCATAGTGCAAGACTGTAGTTTTACACTGGTATATCACTTTTACTTCTCACGACTGTCTTTATATGTTCATTTGTGTCGATTTTAGCTGTATTTGTTAATGGTGTCCTCTGTTATTTCAGACTTCCAGAAGGTAGGGAAAGTCAATGCAGATAGATCAACAAACATCTAACACCTTAACATGTGTCTTTCACGAATAATCTGATTCAATTAAATCTCTGTTTGATTTTGTTTGAACACTGATAAACAATTATTCTCTCTTAAGAAAATTTAGTTTCATTTATCTTGTGTTCCCTTCTACTCGSTCTGCAATTATCCCATTTTTTATTTCTAACAATAAATGATTTTATTTTTCAAAAAGCTGTCGAGGTATTTCATATGTATTATCTAAGCCATGATTGAGGAATTGGTTCCGCGCTGCACAATATTCAACTCGGATGAATTTGGAGCCTGTCAAAACCAAAGAAACTTTCCCTTTAGGACGAAATATCACTCAAAGACAACCCTATGTACGTTTATTCGACCATACTATCAAGTTATTACATCATTGCATTATTCTTCGTTTCCTTTCCTTGCTTGTCTCGTTAACCTGAATTTAAAAACAGAAAAAATTCAGTTGCATTTAATCATTGCGTATGAGCTCAATTTGATCCTACTGTGTGTTCATTGTTATCATAAAACCGACAATAACATAAACTAAGAGACTTCTTATTCCTGTATTATATTGACTCAAAATTCCGTCCTGTAGCTAGAAAGATACTTACATGCTTTACATGTCCTACGACACTTAATATTTTTGATGTCGGGGCGATAGCAAAAGGACTGAAGCTGTTTACAGTTGTTAACTTTATCTACACATGCTGAAATATGACAGTAGTCTAATTGGTCATTTTATTAATCATTAATAGACTGTAAAAAAATAATTATTCCTGTCTTTGTCACTGCCTGATATTTCTCTTTGGTCAACTTACTTTGATCACCTGGGATTGAATAAGAATGGAAGTAGTTAGAAAGCGTCTTGTCAAAGTAGAAATGCGATATMTTATTCTACTTACAAGCATTGCAGGTCTTGCGGCACCATTTGTTCCGGACGTCATYATCACTATGACAATACTTGGCTAGGTCGTTACAATTGTAGGCCTTGTCTTTACAG